AATGGTACCTGCATTTGTCCACCTGTTGTTTTTACACCTTACATTAGATCATGCTAGGTCATAGTTAACATTTTTAGCTGATAGGATAATAGAGTTGGAAGGGACTTTAGAGGTCTTCTAGTCCAACCACCTGCTTAGGTAGGAAACCCTACACCACTTCAGACAAAGAGTTGTCCAATATCTTCTTAAAAACCTCCAGTGTTGGAGCATTCACAACTTCTGGAGGCAAGTCGTTCCACTGGTTGATTGTTCTGTCAAAAAATTCCTTCTTATTTCCAAGTTGAATCTCTCCTTGATCAGTTTCCATCCATTATTCCTTGACTGGCCTTTGGGGGGCTTTGGAAAATAGCTCGGCCCCCTCTGCAGACCCTCAAATTTTGGAAGACTGCTCTCCTGTCTCCCCTGGTCCTTCTCTTCCCTGGACTAGCCAGGCCCAGTTCCTGCAATCGTTCATCCTTTGTTTGAGCCTCCAGTCCCCTCATCATCTCTGTTGCTCTTCTCTGCACTCTTTCTAGAGTCTCCACATCTATATGTGGCTTTTATATGTGGCTAAAGTCAAGTTTAAATCTGGACAGGATGAGGGTTCTGTTTGAAATATTTTGCTGAGAATATATTTGCATAGCAGTCTGGAGGGATCTGTGAATCACCATTAGCAATTGATCTGAGAAGTACAAACTTGGTTAGAATGGAATTTTTCATTTAGATTGATGAAATTTGCTCTTGGAATTTATTCAGGATTTCAATAGCAGCAAAGGTTCCCCTCGCACATCTGTGCTAGTCGTTCCTGACTCTAGGGAGCAGTGCTCACCTCCGTTTCAAAGCTAAAGAGCCAGCACTGTCCAAAGACGTCTCCGTGGTCATTTGGCCAGCATGACTAAACGCCGAAGGTGCACAGAACGCTGTTCCCTTCCCACCAAAGGTGGTTCCAATTTTTCTACTTGCATTTATACGTTCTTTAGAACTGCTAGGTTGGCAGAAGCTGGGACAAGTCACGGGAGCTCACTCTGTTATGTGGCGCTAGGGATTCGAACCGCCGAACTGCTAACCTTTCCGATCGACAAGCTCAGTGTCTTAGCTACTGAGCCACCTTTGATAGCAGTAGTAAAAGCTAAAATAAACTAAACTTAAATCAAGAGATTAGAAAGAAATGCAAGAAAATCCTAATAAGGAAAAAGAAAATAAATAAATAAAGAAGTGACTTTCAACTTTCAACATTTTATTCGGTCCCTCCTCTGGCATCCTTTCGTTCATGATTCTATCCCACTATTTCTTCGTTGTGACTCTTATCCCGCAGTGAATGTCCTGTGGCGAGTTGGCCCCAGTGCGTTATAATCCCTTCCAATTTAGAGATCCTTAACTCCTACCAGCTCCTTGGAGAAAACTGTAATAGGCAAACGAATTTTATTTCCCTTCCAAATTACAGGTAGACCTCGACTTACAATGGTTCATTCAGTGACCGTTCAAAGATACAACGGCACTGAAAAAAGTGACTTGGGACTGTTTTTCAAAGTACAACTTTTGCAGCATCCCCATGATCATGTGATCAAAATTCAGACGCTTGCCAACTGATTCGTATTTATGACCATTACTCTGTTACAAGGGCATCCCTTTTGCAGCTTTTTGACAAGCAAAGTCAATGGAGAAGCCAAATTCACTTAACAACCAAGTTACTTAACTTAGCATCATTGTTTAACGACCCCATAATCCCTTGTGGGGGTGGAGTCTGGGCAACTGAATGGACCTGAGTGCTTACTGGCCAGATGCCTTTCCTGTCGCCAATGCAGAGTTTTGTTCAGCAGATACTGTACATTCTCATTGTGCCCAGAGAGAGAGAGAGATCTGTCTCTACCTAGAATCGAACTCACAGCTTTCTGACTGTGAAGCAAGCGCTCCACTGCACCACTCTTGACAAGCAAAGTCAATGGGGAAGCCAAATTCACTTAACAACCATGTTATTAACTTATCAGCTCATTGACTGTGGCAAGAAAGGTCGTAAAACAGAGCAAAACTCGCTTAACAAAATATCTCACTTAACAACAGGAATTTTGGGGCTCAAAAATTCTTAAGTCGTAAGTTGAGGACTACCTGTACACTACTTCATTGGTAGTTTAGAATTATGATCTATAGTTCAAAAAAGAAGGAAGGAAGGAAGGAAGGAAGGAAGGAAGGAAGGAAGGAAGGAAGGAAGATTAAGACTGTCCTTGATTTATCCCTAGAATTAGAGGGCTTAACAATCCAATCGGTATTTAGGGAATCTTTTCTTTTTCTTCAGCACTCAG